TAATAGCGGCAACAAAATCATAGTATTCGTCATGAAATTTGGCCCAACTGATTTTTTTGTTTCTTGAATCGTTATTTTTGAATTTGGAAGAAATCGGTTCAGATTTGGATATAGCTCCCATATATATATATATATATATATTCGTCCGATTTTATGTAAATGGTGCACCATACTGCCAATATTGGTCCGATTTAGACAAAATTTTGAACAGAGTATTGAATTAGGTCTAGATTGGTATGTGTGAAATTTTGTTGAAATCGGTTCAGATTTAGATATTGCTCCCATATATAGTTTCGTCCAATTTTATGTAACCAGAGCACCATACTGCCAATATTGGTCCGATTGAGACAAAAGTTTACACAGAGTATTGAATTATGTCCAGATTGATGTATGCGAAGTTTTGTTGGAATCGGTTCTGATTTAGATATAGCTCACATATATAGTTTCGTCCGATTTTAGGTAAATAGTGCACCAAACTGAAAATGTTTGCCCGATTGGGACAAAATGTAGCACAGCGTACGGAATTTAATCGAGTTTGACATCTGTGAAGTTTTGTTGAAATCGGTCCAAATTTATATATAGCACACATATATAGTTTCGTCCGATTTTATGTAAATGGTGCACCAAACTCCCAATAATGGTCCGATTTAAACGAAATTTTGCACAGCGTACTGAATTCAGTCCAGTTTGGCATCTATGAAGTTTTCCTGGAAATAAGTCCATATTGAGATTTTTGGTAAATGGTGCACCAAACTTTCAATATTTATGCGATTGGCATGCAATTTTCTGCAATTGCAATTTTTTTATTGGCTCAAATATCTATGTAGATCACATTTGTTTTTTACCCGATTCCATGTTAATGGTCATCCAAAGATGGTATGTCTCTTCTATCAACAGGATATTGTACACATTATCATTTTTGTTTGTACCCAAAGTGGTAAAGGGTATCATATAGTCGGTCCAGTCTGACTTTTGATCTTTCCTTACTGGTTGTCTTTGAAAACATTCATCTTTCTGTGACATTTTTTCCAAATTTTGCGCTATGTTAAGCAAAATTAATGTACTATTTGCTTTAAAAATTTCTCTCTTTCATCCGAAATGTTGTCGACAGCAATTTTGCTCACTACATGTTTGAAAACAGCATCAGGTTTTTTTTCTTTTTGTTACCTTCTTTTCGCCATATTTCAAAAAGTTCGATTTTTTATACGGAGGTTGCCTAGATAAAAGAGGCATTACTCGTAAAACGCAAAAAATCGCAACATGAAATAAACTTAAATTAACTCATTACTTATCACTTAATTTGTGTGCAAAATTTCAAAGAGGTCATATTGGGTCATTTTTTTAATAGCCTACTGAAGGTCAATCTATCAAATTACATTAACTTTTTAAAGTCTTCATAGACTAAAGGGTTATTTTCAAGTGTAGTGTCGCAAACATAAAAATGTTTTGATTTAATATAAAAATGCTCACTTGTATCTATATTTTCCATTTTACACTAATTATTTATTGTAAACACAATCGAAATAATACGCACTCACAGTTGACTAAGCCCCACAGAAATATAAGCACATTTATAGAATAAATTGTATTGAGCGACTTGCACGGCCAGCTATGTAACGGTACTTTATATTTAGCACTAATAAATATCACGTGTCTCTATTCTAGAGTGTTCTAAATACAAAAACAACAACAACTCGTGAATACCGACACTTTGATTTTCTCCCATTTTGCACAGAAAAACCGGTCATTTGACCTATAGTGCAATGGGACAAAATTATGTAAATAAATTTAAAACAAATATCAATCGGACACCCGTTGATTATTTGCATAAACATAACAAAATTGATGCGCCATTTACTTACGGACGAAAATATATATAAAAGCTATATCGAAATCTAAACCGATTTCAACAAAACTTTCCACACGCTAGTTTATATTAACTTCAGTACGTTGTGCAAAATTTTGTGTCAATCGGCATAATTTTGGGTCTTTGGTGCACCATTTACTTAAAATCGGACGAAACTATATATGGAATCCATATCTAAATCGGAACTAATTCCTACAAAACTTGGCACATGTTAGGCTATACTAATTTCAGTACGTTGTTTAAAATTTTGTAGCAAACGGCCTAAATTTGAGTCTTTGGTGCACCTTTTACTTACAATCGGATGAAACTATATATAGGAGCTATATCTAATTCTGAATCGATTTCAACAAAACTAGCCACACGTTATTGTATAGTAATACGTTGGGCAAAGTTTTATGCCAATTGGACCCATTTGGGGAGTTTGTTGCAGAATTTGTTTCTAACTTCTAGGTCATACTGATATCAATAAGCTGTGCAAAATTTTGTGCCAATTTTTGTAAAATCGGACTAAAATACATATGTAGAAGCTATATCTAAATCTGAACCGATTTCAACGAGACTTTCTAGAGATTAATTTATATTAACTACAGTTCATTGTACAAAATTGTGTAGCAATCGGACAAACTTTGGGTCTTTAGTGCACAATTTACAAAAAATCGGAAGAAAATATATATGGGAGCTATATGTAAATCTGAACCGATTTTCAAAAAACTTAGCACACATCATTCAAGACTTAATTCAGTACGCTATGTACGAAATTCGTGCAAATCGAAAGATATTTATGGGGACTTTGGTACACCATTTACATTAAATCGGACGAAATTATATATGGGAGCTATATCTAAATCGAAACCGATTTTCACGAAACTTAGCACACTTATATGTTCTTTATAGGCTCGGAAACGATTATTTCGATGAGTTACAAATGGAAAAACAAATTAAATATACCACCCATACTATGGTGGAGTATATAAAAAATATATTATTATTGAAATCGAGAATGTGATGTTCCATATTTGGAAGTACTTCGCTCTTTTTATTTTCATGCAATCGCCACAAAAATAAAAAAATTAGTTTCAGAACCTAGTAACAAGCTGTGCCAGAGGACGCCTTTATTTGTTATCGGCCCAGAATTTTGCGACCGTCTGTGGCTGATCACAAACTTATGAGTTATTGCCGATAATATAAAAATAGTCGTTGGAAATTGCAAGTAAAAATGTAATAAAAAACCTGTGAGCGGAGCAGTATGGTGGACGGGCCTATATTCTGAGCTTGGGCAATATTTCGCGAAATTTGCATCGTGTTGACCGACTTGAGGCCAACAAATATTACTAATATTCAGTACAGATTCCCTTCACCGTGGGTTGTGTTGTGATGTTTGGCTTTCAATTGTGGCCTATAGATCGACTCGAAAAAACACAAAAAAAGTTTGCGGTCGAATTCATTCCAATATTATTATCTGATCATCACCGAAAATTATGGGCGTAGTCCTTGACCATAACTGAGACCTCATGGAACATTTCAAAGCGATCAGCGCTATATTTCCACACTCCAGTGTGGTAATGGATCACTAAATAATATCTGATTACGTTGACACCTGTAAATATTTACGTGTAACTCCCACATCCGAGTACATACGACAATATTATTGGTATCAATTTAAAGCTCAACCACTCATCTTGGATATACTATCAACTTCTCGGGTCTATATCCTACAGGAGTAAATATATACGCCATAGAATACAAATTTTGTCATTTTTCACACAAAAGTCAGGGTTCATTTGACGCACTAAATATTGACCGATCTTTATCAAAAAAGTCATTCATATTCTTTGACTCCATCCCCATCACGATGTTCGAGCGGCCTCTGAAGCGACCAGAAAAACCGAAAAAATAAAGTTTTTGGTCTATTTCATCCTCTAAATATTAACCGATTTTTACCCAACAATAGGGGTCTTCATGGTCCATACCTGTGTCCTGTATCGTGTTTACAAATTATAATGGACAGACGGAAGGACACACATGTCTAGGTCGACTCAGCTAGTCGACATATGATGATCGGTATACTTAAAGGTGGGTCTAAGACCAATATTTCGCGGCGTTACAAATTCTTGGGGCTGCACTAATCTATAATACCCTGACAACATAGTTGTGTAGGGTATAATTAAATTTGATTTTTACTAACATAGCATGCTGATGATAGAATTGGATGCTATTGGTATCATCTTCATTCGAGAGCATAATATTTCTCCACTGAGTCAGATTCCAATTAGTATGAGCTTTTGCGAAAGGCAATCTGGCTTTCCGATTCTTTTCAGTAATAAAATAACTTTCTTAATGGCTTCCGGGCATGTATGCTTGCTATCATAACTCGTCAATACAACGATAAGCGTTTCACAAATTCCGTTGGACTCTTGGTATTTTTACTGTTTTTGTTTCTAGTCATTTTTATATTTTTTGGAACTAAGTCAAAATTGAAAACGAAACGGAAATTTGTAATAAAGTGCATTTAAAAATCGAAAGTAATAAAGAATATCATATAGTCGGCCCGTCTGGCTTTGGCCTTTTCCTTATAAGATCTTTCTTAAATTCAAAAATGATTATGACATTATTTCTTCGGAAATAAGTATCTTGCGCCATATAATCCATTGTTTCTACTGTATAGATTTGTGCGATTTTTGGTTTTATCATTATATATAATTTAAATAATATTTTATTATTTATTTAATTTTATTAATAATTTTGTGATATTTCAACCTTTATATTTCTATTAGTCAAGCTCGACGTCTATTGGCTTAGACCTTATCTTCACAAGATGCCGGTGGTCAATTGTGGTCACCTCTTCTAGAGATAACACGATTCGTATTTTTTCCCATAAAATAATAATGAAACGTCACGCCTGAACTACAACAATCAAGCAAACGTGAAGGATAGAGACGATTCTCAATAATTACTCTTGGATGTCTCTACTCTAGATTTCAGAACTCCATATAACGAACACAATACATTGCTTTCTAATTAGTTTTGTATTACACAGTGCCACAATAGTTTTAATATTTATTCAGTCATTAATCTAATAAACAGCACATCAAATAATTAAATTCCATATTTACAAACTAACATTTAACAACAATTAACCAAAAATATTATCATAAAATTTAAACCAAAATCCTTTTCTCTTTGGCGCACAAGATTCTTCAAAACTCTGAACATATTCCCTATACTCTTTAAGGGTTGTAGTATCAAGTGGTCCCCATTCCGAAGTAGGTTTAAATGCAATTTTAAACCGCTGACCGAAACTATATTGGGGTGCCGTATAAGCTGTATAGAAACCCCATATTAAAAGTTGTCCAATACCAACAGCCGATATGCACCAACCGAGAGCTGAAAAAACGACAAAAAATATAATTAAAATAAAATGAATAGAAATTAATTAGAAGTATGTTACCATATAAACCCTCGGGATAAAGTGTATCATTGTATTTCAGTGGCTCATAGTCGACTAGCATATAAATTAAAACGGCAGTCATAAAAACTGGTGTAACAATGCCCCAACAAATCCGATAGTATATGGAGGTTTTAATTTTCAGCATAAATTTGATATCACGACAGATATTTTTAACACCTGTAAGCGGAGAAATGTTTCATTACAAATATTGTATATTATGAAGTATACTTTTAGGCGTAATCAGAATAATTAAACAATATTCAAGCATTGTTGACTCATTCCATTGAAATGTTAATTATACGGGTTTGGTATGCCATGTTGTAGATATAGGGCTGAAATAAATGCATACGGTTGTATATGATTATAATATTATAGCTGCCTAATTCAAGTATTTGGAATATTTTAACTAAACGAGTGTGTCGTCCCCTTATATTAAATTTGTCATTTCGTTTGCAACACATCGAAATATTCACCGAAGACACAAAGTATATATATTCTTGGTCAGAAAATTCTATCTATGATAGAGCTCTGAAATTTTGCAGACATTGCTAGTACACCTAGGATGTTTGGTATTGCAAATGGGATATATTATGGTCGTTTTGGTGTAGCCTCCACGTACGGAACTCCCAATATTCGGTATTTTGGGGATATTGAACACATTTTTCGACCGAATTGGCTGTAATTTAGTATTTTGGGTTCCCATTGTATAACACATATCTGTACAAAAAACTATTAATATTGATCATAGTTTCAGGTTAGCCCCATATAAGGGTACCCCAAGTTTTCGGTATTTTTGACACGTTTTCAACCATTTTGGTGTCAAATCCCCATACTAAAACTTTATTTTGAATTTTTCTGATTTTGGACACCGTGTCTAACCGAATTGTCTGCATTTAGTATTTTGGGTTGTCATATAACGTTACCACCACATCTCAGTGCTAAAAATTATTAATTTTTTTTTGTTTAAAATTTTCTAACGAATTGGTTGTAATTTGATATTTTACATTCTTATATATAGATAGATCCCGGTTTTGTTATAGCCATATATAACCGTAGTCCCACTATTAGGTATTATATTTTGAGAAGTTAAATCATTTTTACGCACATTTTTTGATCCCCCAAAATGTTGACCGACAGCAGTGTTGCCAAAACTCTGTTGAGAAAAAATGCTAGAATTTGTTGAAAAAAATGCTAGAAAGTGCTAGAAATTTTAAAAAAGTGCCAGAAAAAAGTGCTAAAAAAATTAAATGAACAAAATTGTTAATATGTAATAATGAAATATTCATCAGAGACCCCATTTATTCTTAAAGGCTACTCCTTGTCGATTTAGCCATGTCAATCCGATTGAGGTCGCAATATTGAAAACAGAGCTTTGGAATTTTTCCCATATATTGCACTACTCCTAGGACATTTGGTATTGGAAATTAAATATATCGGTCTTTTTTGTGTACACCATGCCCAATATTTAATTTTTTTAAGGTTTTGGGCACATTTTTCAATCGAATATGCGGTTTTGTTTTTCGGATTCTCCCTGTGTAGAAAGTCTTCTTACTAAAAATTATCAACATTGATCCACTATTAAGCGTAGCCCTAATAAACACGTTATACAATCGAATTGGCTTTAATTTGATTTTTCAAATTGAGTAAAAAATCTCCTTATCAGAAATTATTAATATATGTACATATTTAGGGGTGGCTGGTTAACGGCAGTACCCCAAAGTAACTGTAATTTCACATTGCGGGATTTTGGAGATTAGCAAACCAAGACAATTATCAATCAATTTCAATCAGACACCCTTTCGAAATACATATGGAAGCTATGGCTTCATCTGGTGCACCATTTACATAAAATCGGACGAAAATATGTATGGGAGCTACATATATCGAAATCTGGACCGATTTTCTCGAAACTCACCACCCATCATTCTAGACTCAATTAAGTACGCTATGCCAAATTTCGTGCAAATCGAAGGATTAATTAGGACTTTGGTGCACCATTTACATTAAATCGGACGAAAATATATATGGGAGCTATATCTAAATCTGAACCGATTTTCACGAAATTTAACACACGTCTTTCTGGTCTTCATTCATTACTCTATGCACAAATTTCGTGCAAATTGAAGGATATATAGGGCCTTGTGTGCCCTATTTACCTAAAATCGGACGAAAATATATATGGAAGCTATATCTACATCTGAACCTATTTCCCCAAATAAATGAGCGGTGTCAAATTTAATCCAATTCGAATCAAAAATGCGAGTTGTACTTTGTTTACAATTTACAGACGGACATGTATACATCGGCTTAAAAAGTGATTCGATGCATATTCTCAAAAGGAACCGTGTGTCTGTCTCGTTTCCTTTTGCCTGTTACAAACATATGCACAAAGACATAATACCCTGTACCATAGTGTGGTGAAGGTTATAAAAATATATGTTTCCCGGAATTTTTCTATTTTGGTGCTGTTCTGTACTCTCAAGTGGTTATAACTTGGCATTCGGGATTGTCGGTGAATAAAAAACTTATTTTCAGAAAATTCCAATGGACCGCTTTATTTTATTTTTATACCCTTCACCACACTGTGGTACAGGGTATTATGTCTTTGTGCATATGTTTGTAACAGGCAAAAATAATCGAGATAGACCCATGGTTCCTTTTGAGAATATACATAGAATCACTTTCTAAGTCGATTTATGCATGTCCGTCCGTCCGTCCGTCCGTCCGTCTGTCCGTCTGTCTGTCCATGTTAAATTATAAACAAAGTACAGGTCGCATTTATGATCCTAATTGGATGAAATTTGGCATAGGTCACATATTCGGCCCAAGGACGAACCCTATTGAAATTGGGAAAAATCGGTTCAGATTTGGATATAGCTCCCATATATATATTTAACCGATTTAATGTAAACGGTCCCTATATATCTTTCGATTTGCACGAAATTTGGTACAGCCTAATCATTTAGGTCTAGAATGATGTCTGCCAAGTTTCGTAAAAATCGGTCCAGATTTAGATATAGCTCCCATATATAGTTTCGTCCGATTTCATGTAAATGGTGCACCAAAGTCCCTATATATTTTTCGATTTGCACAAAATTTGGTACAGCCTAAGCACTTAGGTCTAGAATGATGTCTGCCAAGTTTCGAGGAAATCGGTCCAGATTTAGATATAGCTCCCATATATAGTTTTGTCCGATTTCATGTAAATGGTGCCCCAAAGTCCCTATATATCTTTTGATTTGCACGAAATTTGGTATATCGTACTGAATTGAGCCTGGAATGCTGTCTGCCAACTTTCGAGAAAATCGGTCCAGATTTAGATATAGCTCCCATATATAGTTTCGTCCGATTTCATGTAAATGGTGCACCAAAGTCTCTATATATCTTTCGATTTGCACGAAATTTGGCATAACGTATTGAATTGAGCCTAGAATGATGTCTGCCAAGTTTCGTGAAAATCGGTCCAGATTTCTATATAGCTCCCATATATAGTTTCGTCCGATTTCATGTAAATGATGCACCAAAGTCCCTATATATGTTTCGATTTACACGAAATTTGGCATAGCGTACTGAATTAGTTTCAGAATAATGTGTGCCAATTTTCGAGAAAATCGGTTCACATTTATATATAGCTCCCATATATAGTTTCGTCCGATTTCATGTAAATGATGCACGATTTGCACGAAATTTGGCATAACGTACTGAAAATCGGTCCAGATTTAGATATAGCTCCCTTTTATTATAGATTGATTATAAGTAATTGACGCACCAAGGATCCAATAGGCTGATAGGAACAAAACGTTCTGAAATTAGTATAACCTAACCTGTGACAAGTTTGTTTGAAATCGCTTAATATTTGGATAGATTTTCCATATATATTTTCGCCCGTAAAGTGGGCATCAAACTCCTCATGTTAGTCAGATTGACATCAAAGTTTGCACAACGTACAAAATTGAGCATAGAATTACGTAGTTGCGTTTTCTAGAAGTACAGACATAGCCCAACGGATGACCTATTTATATTTGTTTGAAGTCGATTTACATACTTTATGGATAGATCTAGGTAGATTCATATATAGATAAATATCACATATTTTATTTCATCCAATTTCATGTTAATCGTCCTGTTTAATGTACCCATAGTGGTGAAGGGTATCATATAGTCGGCCCCGTCCGACTTTACTACTTTCCTTACTGTTTTTTTATCAAATAAACAATCTACTAGCAGACAATGTCATAGCCACCATATGAAGTACCTGCTTACAAATCTACTGTCACTTTTTTAACATTGGAAAATCAAATTCATCGCGTAAAACATAGGGAATTTTCAATGCGTCAATATGAAATCGAAAAACGGGAAAATTTGTTAGGATGAAACAAAAATTATAAAAAATTACTGAAAAAAAATGCTAAAAAAAGTGCTAGGTGCTAGGTCACTTTTTTTGGTGCTAAACGAGTTTAAAAAGTGCTAAATCTAGCACTAAAAGTGCTAAATTGGCAACACTGACCGACAGCCATATTTATTTGTTGTCATGGGTTTCAGGTCATAATTGTGGCCTATAGGACGACTAGAAAAACAAATAAAAATAAAGTTTTTGGTCAATTTAATATGTTTTCTTTGAATATAAATCTATTGTTATCATTACTATCAACCGAGTCAATAGGTAATGTGTCATGGAACAATCAATACCAGTATGGAAAACTACGGGTCTTTGGAACTACAATGCCGAAGGAAAAAGACACACATAACAATGAAGAGAGTTTAATCAGCTTACATACATCTCGAGGGAAGACTCATTTGGAGGAATGCTTTCATAAAACCAACGCGATTTGATAGCCCTGTTGGTCCATAAATGGGACTACCAACGTTCTGAAGATAAAAAAGCACCGTCTTTCAAATTTACGTCGACAATCTATGTATAGTGGTTATCGAAGTTAGGAGAACATTCCTTTTGTAATTTTGGATAGTCATCTCGAGTCAATTATGTCTTAGAGTTCTTATGTAAAGTTGCCCGATGGCCTTTGAAAAGGTATTCTGACAAAGACCATAACATCAACATGGAATTTCCGCTCAGTCGTTTAATTGACCAAATTCGCCGACATAAAGATCAACCAGGAACCAATTTTATAAACTATTCATCATTTTCTGCCAAAAATCCCGATAGAGTAGTATACAACCTGTCCGTATCAAAAATGTGACATATACATTATCTAAATATTGATTATCTGCACGACATCGAAAATACACCCTATTAAAACATGCAAGTTAAAATTGCATGTTTTAAAAATGTTAACCTCTGTGGGGGAGGTATGTTGATCCTTTGCGGGGGAGCTACTAGAAGGAGTGGGCCAATGAGTCCCATATTCAAACATTAGACATGTTTGGTTAAAGAACTTGGCTGGGCAATGTTTGGTTTAAGTCAAACCAAATTAAAATTAATTTTCAGCAAAATCTTGTGGGGGAGGTATCAGAAGGAGAGGTCCGAGTTTCCCCATATAAAAGACCTGCGCAATTGTAGGTATTTTCAAACCGAAGTGGTTATAATATGATAACCGAATTATTGGTGGGCAAAAAAAGTAATTCGCAGAAAATGTTCAATATGGGTTCAGGTTCTGGCATAACCCTCATATAAAGTTTGCCTTTTTAAGTATTTTAATGGATTAAGACGTATTTTCTAAAAGATGTGACTGTAATTTAGCTTTCCGGGAGAGGTTGAAAAAAATCTTAACAGAAATGTTATTTCGGATTGCGAAAAATATATTTGCACAAATTTTTGAATATTTTAACATAGCCCACATATAAATGTTTTGGGTAATTTTATGGCCCATAACGCACTTAGCATTCAATTCTTAATATAGGTTTAAGATAGCCCCAGTATTTTGAAGGTTCAAACAACGAATCTCTAATTTCCAGTAGGTTACAAATCATTTTCAGAAAAAAATTTAATAAACATAACCACATGTTAACACAATCCCCAATATATAAGGTTAAAACCTATTTTCAATATGGTAAGCTTAAACTTGTGAGGTGAAATTTTAGAACATATTTTGGACGTGGTGGTAAAATTCACCTTATACATTTTTTGAAATATTTTACATTGTTTGTTTGTCAATGTGTCACCAAATTATAATATACACTCAAATCAATACACATACGACATTTATGTAAAAAAATCGGAACCTTATTTCACAGTTCTTGTGAAATATATGAAGGAAGGGGTAAAATTTACACCCAACTCGAATGTTAAAGGTTAAAGATCTTATCCGATTTTTAGAGCCTAAGTCATTTTATTTGTTATTTAGTTTTCTCGGAGGTTAAATAGTACCCTACAAATGCCCTGATCCTTTCTAGTTTTTTAATGCGCATCTTATGGGGGAACATGCCAAAAGTTCGCATACACATCTAAATGACGTTTTTACTTGTCCATGATTATTTTATAACATAAGCCAATTTGAAGGAATATTAATGGACCCAAATAAGATTTTATGTATGAGTAGTTTTAAGGGACTTAATTTAGAGTGTTTTTAGGTATATTTTAAAGGTGCCAAATATCTGACTTTTTATAAATAGTAGTTTGAAGGAACCAACATAACGATGTATTTTTTTGGGTCCAAGACGAAACCAGAAATTTTCGAATATTTTTAATTGACTAAAGTAAGAGGTCGGTTTGTTTAAAATAGTGATGATTGATGATGATTTTGGAATTGGAATTTGTTTATGTCTAACTTACCATAAACCCAACTGGCTGCAATCAGTTCAAATATTCCCAATACAATGGCCACCAAAGTAACCGCATAGAAGTCAATGTAATTCATAATAAATTGGCCACCGGGTGTGATATACATCAGTCCGAAGCAATAACAAATCACCACCATAACACTAACAACAACCCAACGTTGGATCGTAGTGAACCCATCACATATCACAGTTATCACACTTGAAATAACGCCTACATTACTGCCCACACCTAATATGAACATCATCAAGAAGAAAAGGGCGGAGAAAATCTAAAAGAAAAGGATTTTAAATAAAAAATTACATTTAATTGTTTCTCTGAAAATGTTATATTTCAAGAGGGGCCTTGAGGAGGAGTTCCTTATTCCCAATTAGATATATCGGTAATTGAGAACTTCCATTGTTCTTACCTGTGGCACTGCTTCAAATTTCGCTATAGCATCTGGGTAAGAAATAAACGCCAATCCAGGTCCTGATTTAACCACACTCTTTATATCGGGATTGTTAGATTCGTGAGCCAAATTTCCCAAAATGCCAAAAATAACAATGCCCGAAAGCAGGGAAGTGCATGTATCCAGTGATGTCACTATATTACAATCTCTAAAAATATTTACAAATTTATAATCAAATTTTTAAAAATTTCAAATTCAAGAATTCCCCCTACCTATAGATATTGTGTCGGAAACGATTAAATGAGGCATACATCAAAATAATGCCATAACAAACGGTTAGCGAGAAGAAAACCTGTGTTACTGCAGCATACCACACTTTGGCATCCAACAACCGATCCCATTGTGGTGTAAGGAAAAACAGAACACCATCAAAGGCACCCGGTAAAGTTAGCGAACGCACCAGCAACACCAACATAATCACATATGGGAATATGGCCAAGAAATATGATGCTTTACCGGAACTTTTAATACCCTTTATGATGACACCACCTATTACCAGCCATGAAACGGCCAAGGTTATGGCTAATCTCCAATTCGGGACACCAATACCATCATCTATATTGGCCTTTTCGTGGAGAACTATATTTCTAAAAATGGATGATTTTAAATATATAATATTTAGAAATGCTTTAAAAACTTACACAAAATAAAATTCTGCTGATGTCTTCTTTACTCCCGTAATATTGCGTACAACTTTGGGAGTTCCATCCCTTTGAATTTTCGAATCTATACACTGATCGCCCCATTCTTCGCGACAATAACTCCATGGTAATGTGGCGTAGAATGAATCCACCAGATAATGTAAAGTCAAGGCCATCAGTGAGGAATAATAGGTGGCAATGAAAAACGTTAATATGGCCTGGCCATAACCAATACCTATCAATAAGAAAAGGGATAAGTAGAATATTTAATTTCTCGTATTTTAAGTTCATTCTCTTACCCTTCATAATCGGCGCGTACTCAAACACCTTTACACTACCCCTACTCGAAAATTGTCCCAATATCATTTCCAAATAATAAATTGGCCTGCCGACCAGCAGCAGTGTTATAATATAAGGTATTAGAAATGCTCCGCCACCATTCTCCAAGGCTATGAAAGGAAATCGCCAAACATTTCCCAAACCCACAGAGAGGGCTATGCAAGACATTAAGAATTCAATATCATTTCCCCAATTATCGCGTTTTGCTGTTGTCGCCTCTGTATGTACTTCTGGTCCATTTTGTGTGGACGCTTTCTGGAATAGAAAATTAGAATAATATCACTAAACAATATCGTTAATGTTTATATATCCTACACAACCAAAAATTTGTAACGCAGCGAAATATTGGTTCTAGACAAACTTTTTAGTACACCGATCTAGCTGAGTCTATCTAGACATGTTTGTCCGCCCGTCTGACCATTATAATTTGTAAACACTGTAGATGCCACAGTTGTGGACCAATCTTTACGAAATTTTGCATGTAGGTTCAGTTTGGACCAAAGAAAACCCCTTTTGGTAATGATCCGTTAATATTTGGGGGATCGAATGGACTAAAAACGTCCTTTTTGTCTGTTTTTCGGTCGGTCTGGAGTAGGGATAAGTAAATCCACATTAGACTAATCGATTAGTCCACTTTTTGTATTGAAAAGTCAAAAATCGAAAAGTCGACTTTTGTCCTCTTTTACTTATCCCTACTCTAGAGGCCACAATTCTGACTCACACATCACGAAAATGTACCCGAAAAAATACATCTGATAAAGGAACAAGCACGGTCATTTACGTGATAATCGTTCAATTTGAGTGAGACTTTTGTGTGAAATTTACTTTCTATGGCGTATATATTAGGTTGGGGAAAAATAAATACATTGTTTTTTCGGCAAATGGCTGTATCGATCCGAACCCGAAAGTTCTTGTAAGCATTTGGAAGGGGAAACTTCGGCAGCGTGGTTGGAAAGTTTTAATGAATCCGCCATACAGTCCGGAATTGGCACCAAGTGAAAACTTTATTCAATGATAAAAAAATGGTATCTAGAGAGGTTTGTGAAAATCGACTACTAGAGTTTTTTTAAATAGAGAGCAGTACTTTTTTGAGAGAGGCATTACGAAGTTATCTGGAAATTGACAACAAATAATACAACAAAACGGTTCCAAATCGGACATTCCGAAGCATGTTAAATAAAGTCCTATAGCTCATATAAAAATAATAAATCGAAGAGGAGTGCTTGTGGGAGTTATACGTAAATATTTATAGGAATAGCTGATGCTAGGAATTGTTGCATGAGGTTATGGACAAGGGCAACGCCTTTAATTTTCGAGGATGGAATGGGCCGATAAATATATTTGGTCTGTTTTTCTAGTTGCTTTAGACGCCACATCACAAATTTTCATTGGGGAAGGCAATCTGACCAACTAATTCTAGAGGGTCAAATGAACCAAAACTTTTTGTGTAAAATAACAAAATTTGAATATTATGGAGTACATTTTTACTTAGGGAATACACAATTCGGAAAATATGCCAAAGAGGAGCTAGCAAAATATTACTTAGGCTCGGAATATAGATCGGCTGAAACTTAGAACTCACTAGTTTATTTGTGTGCTGATTTTAAATTTCTTCAAAATTTTAAAAGTATGCAAATGGGAAGGAAAATTATATGGGGGATGTGTTAAAATATAGACCTATTTAGAAATATTTCTGTATAAACGTGTTTTACCCTACAAAAAGCTGAAATGCCAAATTACAGCCAATTTAAGTGTAGATCAAAATACATAAAATAAAAATAAAATGCTCATATATGGATGCTATGTCTAAACCTTGACCGAAATTGATAATTTTCTGCATATACGTATGCCAGGCTCTAAAACCCCGCAATGCGCCAAAAGCCGGCAATGCAAAATTACAGTTACTTTGGTATGATAATGTAATTAAAATAGGTGCCGATATTAATATTGGTTATGAGAAAATAATTGACACTTACAGATTACCCATAATATCAATTTGAAGTCAATTCGGTTAAAATGTCCGTTAGTCCGTTCGTCTGTCTGGCCGGCTGGTACGCACGATAACTCTTGAAGGAAGTAATCGATCTCATACGAACTTGCACATCATAACTTTTTTCCAAACTTAGTTCAAGTTCGAAGATGTGGAATATCAGTCCCCACAAAACTGTCAAAGTTGGGCTCAAATTTAACATAATAATATCATGCGAACGGAATATCCGATTTGATCCAAACTTTGTACAACCTATTATCGTTATCAAGTCCGTCGTTCTTCATCTTTTGGTGCCTTCCACACAAAGGGACAATAGTTTAGAAACTTGTAAATTTAATTTGAAGCTAGGTTGAAGGCATACATGTGTTGCCAACACCGACTGACACTTTTCTACTTGTTAATATAGCAATGCATATAAATATATCGTGAAAAATTCGAGTATTTTCTACTGATCGGTTCCTATAGATATCATCATTACGGTTACTATGTATTTATCTAAATTAATAAAAAAAATTCTTCATTTTGGATAATTTGTTGTTATACCCTTCACCACACTGTGGTACAGGGTATTATGTCTTTGTGCATATGTTTGTAACAGGCAAAAGGAAACGAGATAGACACATGGTTACCTTTGAGAATATGCATAGAATCACTTTCTGAGTCAATTTACGCATGTCCGTCTGCCCGTCCGTCTGTCTGTCCGTCCATGTATTTTTGTGAACAAAGTACAGGTTGCATTTATGATCCGATTTGGATGAAATTTGGCATAAGTCACTTATTTTTCGTTTTATTGTTGATAATTCGTTTTATTGTTTTTATTTATAAAACTTTTCAGAGTAAATATTTTCCTGTAATACGCAGTACCACTCTTTTATTGAAAGCTTCTGTAAAAAGATAACATTTGTAATATTTTGTACAAATTGTTACAAAATAACGAGAATAACGTAGACATAGGGTCTGTGATTAAAGGGACCCCCATTCTCGATTTCAATATTTCTACGATTTCCAACCGGCTGGCAAATGTCTTTTTTTCTAGACTTGTAGCTTTACGTGTATTTGAAGCCTTAAACAGAAGAAAAGAAATTGAAATTGAGAAATTGTTTTTATTTATTTTTTTGTAATGCTAGAAAATGCCTTCTCTTCGACGGCATGCATGAATGCCAATCACTGGAAATTCCAACGCAATAGAAATAGTACATATCTGGATCTGGTGTGAACTAGGATTATTGACTTGGCTCCAAAATTAGCAAAAAGGCGGCTCTAGGAAAATTATTTTTTCGGGGAAATATCCAATTTTCGAAAAAGCTCACTATGGGCCAGGAATCCATTTTTTTATAAATTTCAAATCCGGAGACTGAGCTTTGCACCAGTAAAATTTTATAACATTGTGGGTCACGGTTTACAAATGACATGAGGTCCAAACCAAATTGCATATTTTTGTGAATATAATTTATATTTGAAAAATGTTCAATAAAGTTGACATGCGCCAAAACATTAACTTGAAATGAAGGTCAATTACACAGCTGGAACTGCCGATTATAATGAAAGTGAAAATTATTAGATATTTGAAGTTAACTTAAGAGTTATTGCCGGTAACATAAAAATAGTCGTTGAAATTTTCCTTTAAAAATTTAAATTGACTTTAACCAACATAGCATGCTGATGATGAAATTGGAAGATATTGTTCTACAATTCCACCAAATGGGATGTAATTTGGTGTTCCCCCAATGTTGGGTTTTTGAGATTTGGTTCGCGATTTTCAACCAAATTGCCTGTAATTTAGTATTTTGAATCCCCATTGGAGTTGTAATCTTCGTACCAAAAACTATCAATATTGACTTAGGTTTGAGGGTAGGCTCCCTATAAATGGACCTCCATTATTTGGAAGCTTAGGGATTTAGACCACGTTTTTCAACCAAGTTGGCTATAATTCATATATTGTTAAGGTATACTATAGCCTTAAGACAATAATACATAAAAATACGATTTCATGCTATTTTTATTTGAAATCAACTAACAAAACCAATTCTTATAAACCCCGCACCGTTTTTCATTTTCAAACATTGCATTCAATATGAAAAAAATAATTGTTTTAGTTTAAACAAATGTTTTTCATTCAGAAACAAGATTTTAATTAATTTGGAAATTTATTGTATTTTATTGACAATTAATATTTGTTGTAAATAATATGGACACTTGATTTATACTCATAACCAGTAAGGAAAGTAGAAAACTCGGACGGGGACGACTATACGAAACCCTTCGTTACTTTGGGTATATACAAGATTTTTATTGCATTTTTCAAGTACTATTGATATGAAATACGACAAAATATGTGTTCTGTATCTGTATGTGAACCGTATTCAATAGGGCACACTTAAAGTCGTTGGTCAACCATTTGTATAAATCTGTTAATATTTTGAAAATCTAAACCGATTTAAATCAAACTAGTCACAAACTAGTCTTTTTTATATGTGAACATGAAGATCTTAACTAAAAATTAATTAAATTAAATTTTAACTTCACAGTCAAAAGTATCCACCGATATTATTTTCAATTTAATAATGGTTAAAAGACAATATTCTAAAGAAATATTGAGTTATATATTACATCAGAAATTTGTTTACGCTTTACGCGTGAGTTTGCTTATTTGGATAGCCATCGTGAGTATTTGAGACCATTGGACGCCACACCACGATTGCCGAGAAAAATTAGTTTTTCACTAGGACCATATAAACGGAAAATAGCGGAAACACTCAATATTACTCGATCTGCTGTCCAAAAAATTAAACTTCAATATTTGTTAAGTTACTTGTATTAATATATTTTTAAACATTTTCGATTTTTTTCCAAACACTAACATTTCCATTGGAATTTTCACAATTTTCCAAATCACCGGATGAAAACTTAAAACCCATATTATCAATGCCATTATCATTGTGATTAGTCATTTTCTTAGAAATCAAGAACAAAAAACACCACGTTGTAATAAAAACCCTTCCGACACTTGTTTTTTTATTTTCTTCGTTTTATTTCACATTCACGACTAGTAACAGCAGTTTCAAGAAGTCGCCGTCAACTGACAAGCGAGATGTCAATGCGAGTGGAGAACTGAACTGAAATGAAATTACCTGAATGAATATTTGTACAATGATTTAAAACAAATTGTATTTTGCTATTTGCTCAAGACGATAAAAATAGCTGTAAATTTAATAGAGCTGGTGATAAAGTTTGTTTGCGGATTCTTTCACCCGCCCATGAGACCCCCCATAACTACAACAACAATCGTAATAATAATAGTATAATATTTTGCAAACAAACTAATTGACAATGGCAGTCATCATCATCAACAACAACATCATAACCACAACCACCACCACAACCATCATCATCATCACCATTTTGATAAATTGTTGAGTGTAAACTTAAATTGTTTTAGTTATTAAGTCATATTTTTTTCTGAGTAGAATTTTCACACGTTCAACGACTAGACATATCAACAACAAATATGAGAGTACTTTTATTTTATTGCTGTTGTTGTGCTCGTTTTTCATTTTTTGTTTAAGAAACAATTTTAATGGCAGTAATAAGATTTTTACAAATCAATGTCAAGAAAATTTCCGGCTTTCCATCTCCCCTGATTCGTTTAGTAACACTTTGTTGTAATATTCAGTGTCATAGTGTGTTTATATATCACACAGAGAACTGTCACCACAGACACACTTTTCGTGAAAATGGTTATGTATTCGCTACAGTGCACCCATTCAGGCAATTAATGTGAAATTCACAAATAAACACTGAGATATGGAAATCGTTTTTTTTTATACTTTCCATGGATAATGACTCTTTGCCTTTTTTATTTTATTTTCTGTAGTAGGAATGAATAAACTTTTGCTAATTAATGACTAAAATAAGGTTTATTCCATAAATAAAAAAATCCAATAATTTTGTGGGCAAGGTTTTTTATAGTATTACATAATCATTACGATCTTTATCTAATCTTATGTAAGTTAACAAAATCTTTATTTAAATCGTAAGTATATGGTCCAGCCGCTTTGTCTAATTTTGAATATCGTCTCACGGTAGGTACGTTCCGATTCGCAATGTTCTTGAAGAAGTGTGTTCCAATGATTGCACCAGTCCATAAACCACATCAAACTATGACTTTGTCGGAATGCATTGCTAGGGTTTGTAATGCTTCTGGTTGATTTGTATCCTATTTTTTTTTTTTTAATTTTTGCAAGCGTTCTTCGTTTCATGGTTAAATTATAAACCAAACTGAAGATGTTCGACAGCGAAATAAAACGCGAAATGTGTAGAAATATAATAGCTAAAAAATCACCCTCTACTATATTCTGAAAGAAAAACTTGAGACCCGCTAAATTATTTATTTGGAATTAATTTATAGCAAGTAAAAAATTAATTACGTTTGGTCGAACTTTTTTAACCTCTACCATAAGGTGCTCATTCCAAATACCTAAAATCAGGAGGTAGTGTCTGCTATGATTTGTTTCATCCTCCGAGAAAACTATTTTATTACGAAGAACCTGATATTTAAAATAAAAGCTTGTTCGGTTGAAAATTAAAGCAATGGGAAAGGATGAAAGGATAATAAAATATGGACCTATACTGAAGATTTTACAGTCACTTCGGTTGGAAAATGCCACACACATTTCACATTGAAATCACATTTTTTTACCATCCAACATAGTGGTTATGGAAAACGTAATTTAGCACAGGAATATCCATTCGTGGCAGTCGTATTTGCGAGTTCCACATGCCGAGCAAATGTGGCTTTATTGCAAGAGACATTTCCAGGCCGCGTAATTTCATGTCGTGGCATTAACAAGTTACTTCGAAGATCATGCAATTTATGCAGGTTTATCGAAATTGTTGCCATTTTTGGGGGAAGTAAAATCGGACGGTTTGGAAATATTGTTCCACATTTACTTAAAATCGGACAAATATATATACGGGAGCTGTATCTAAATCTGAACCGACATCAATAAAATTTTACACAAGTTGTCATTAGTTTTGCAAAATTTGGTGCCAATCGGTTAATTTTGGGTATTTGGTGCAACATTTTCTTTACAATCGGATGCAAATATATATTCGTGCTATATTTAAGTATGAAACGATTTCAATGAAACTTAACACACTCTGTCTTTGACTCAATTCCATACGTCGCACAGTGGGTTAGAGTACCATGTTTTCTTGGATCAAATCAGGGAAGCTATGTTAGAATAATTTTTCTTTATTTTTCAGTTAATACCATTAAAATAAGTTTAAAAAAATGTTTTCTAAGTACATTTGAGTATAATTTTATTAAGAAATGCCAAATATCAGTGTAGGTATATAGTGCAAGGAGTACAATATGATAACTTAAACATTGAATTTTATACATCTTAAAGCTAATCATCCACATCATCATCATCCGCAGCCAGGGATGGTCCGTATGACGAATTTTTAGGCTTTCGACTGTCAAAAAGGTGTAAACGTCGAAAACGTCATATACCTGTATAAAATGTAGTAAACGTCGTTTATTTCAATATTATCACCTTATACAGTAATTTTCAAGAACATATGTTATTTTTACTGTATCTGGCTATTTTTCACTAGAACTGATAAAAAATTCTGAACTTTTTTGAGAAAAAAATTTTGAAATTCGATATGGATTTGAGTAAAGCATACGTTATTTTTGAATCGAGAATGTAAATAGCTTTTTTATCAAAAACCTAATGGTTTTGAGTGGATTTCCGACGTTTCTGACGTATGTATTATACGTCGGAAATGTATGTCATTTACTGTTTCTGACAGGCCATCTCTGTCCGCAGCATCACCAACTTCTGATAATTGCTATGTAAAAGGGCAATTGACACAATTTCGGGTCCTTCAATAAAAAACTTGTGCAAAGTGGTAGGCATATTATACCAAGGATACGTTTCAACAAAAAGTCGTCCTGTATTGTGTGCATATATTTGAAATTTTTCATTATTAATCTCATGGCCACTGGTTACAGCTATAACCGACACGTGCATTTTTTTATTAAATTAACATCTATTTTTGTTATTTCGGCAGATTTTTTTTAGCGTTTTGGTGGTTTTTTTGATTTCTTTAGCTAAAAATGTCATCTTGTCATTTATTGTTTGATCCCTCGAATTCATCATAAGTTTCGACGATTATAAAAAACAACTTTCGAACTTGTATCTATAAAAAATGTTAATAAAAACCCCTTTTACCCGATTACTTGAAACTACACAACACAATCACTATTTGTCAAAACAAAGAATATTATTAAAAGAAACAAAAATAACAACAATAAAATAAT